GAGCTGGCTGCTCGCGCGCCTGCGGCCGCTCGGCGCCCCGCCCCTTGCGCTGCGCGCCGCCTGCCTCGTCACCGAAATCGCCGCCGCGGTCGGCCCCCAAGTCGCCCTCACCATGTCCGCCGCCGACGCGGTGCCCGTGTTCCTGATGCTGCTGCTGCTGTGGGTCAGCGTTGCGCTCAAGATATGGCTGAAGATGCTCAGGGGTCCAGGGGCGCGGCAGCAGCTGGCACTGGTGGCGCAGCATGTAGGGGAGCCACGAAAGCGGTGCGTGCCTCCTCACGCACCCAGGCGCCTCGGCGGCGGACCCTCTTTGCCCCGCCCCCGATGTCGGACACTGTTTAGCAGAACCGGGCAGCTGCCGCTGACTCGGCGTCCTGGAGCTGCTGCAATGGCAGCAGCTGACCACAACACTCAAGAACGCTCGCCCACCAGAATCTCCTGGCCAGCCAGACCCCGACCCGCGCCCTCACCGCCCGCCCCCGATGTCCCCCTATTTCCCCACCTTACCCGCCCCTCCCACACCCCGGCGCCCGCGCCCCCGCACACCTGCGGACGCCTCAGCTTCGTGAGCGCCTTCCGTGGCGCCACGACGCTGCTGACCGCGCTGGGCATCCTGGCCGTCGACTTCCAGGCGTTCCCGCGGCGCTACGCCAAGGCGGAGCGCCACGGGCAGGGCCTGATGGATGCGGGCGTGGGCGCCGTCGTGTTCGCGGGCGGCCTGGTGTCCAAGGCGGCGCTCGCGGACGCGGCGGCGTCGCGTGGCGCGTGAGCGGCGGGGCGGGGAGGGATGGGGGAGGGCGTGCGACGCGGCTCGGCGGGGCCGCGCGCAGCGGCCCCCGCAGGCGCCCGGCGAGGGTGTGGCCGCAGAGATGGGTGTTGTGGTGTTAGTATTCCTGCGGGCTGTCGGTGGGCGATCCAATCCCCCTCCCTCGCTGCATGCCGGCGGCGCCTCGCCGCAGTCACACCGCGGTCAGAGCAACTAAACCCTGCGCCGCCGCCCGCAGGCTGCGCCGCGTGCTCTCCGGCCTCCGCTCCGCCGCGCCGCTGCTGGCCCTCGGCCTCGCGCGGCTGCTGGCCACGCGCGCGGCCGGCTACCAGCAGCACGTCGGCGAGTACGGCGTGCACTGGAACTTCTTCCTCACCGCGGCCGCCGTCGGCCTGCTGACGCTCGCCGTCCGCGTGCCGCGCCGGCTGCTGCTGCCCGTCGGCCTGCTGGTCGCCGCCGCGCACCAGGCGGCGCTGTCGCTCGGCGGGCTGTCTGATTGGGTGCATTCCGAGGAGCGGGGCCCAGGGTGGGTCAGCCTAAACAAGGAGGGGGTCGCGTCCGTCGCGGGCTACTGGGCGATCCACCTGCTGGGCGCCGCCGCCGGCGAGCACCTGCGCGGCAGCTGCGCGGCCGCGTCGGCGGGCGTCCGCGCGCGGCTGACAGTGCCGCACAAGCGCGGTGGCGGCGCCGGCGCCGGCGGCGGCGGCGGCGGGGGCGGCGGCAGCGGGCATGAGGGAGGGGTGGGCGCGGCGTCGCAGGCGCTGTGGGCGTGGGTGGCACGGCTGCTGGCTATCGACTTGGCGGTGTGGGCGGCGGCCTGGGCCGTGGAGGCGTCGGTCGAGCCGGTCTCTCGAAGGCGCGTGCCTGCGCCCGCGCGCGCGCATGCGCAGGGGCGCTGCCTGCAGGGCGTGGCGGATTGGACGCTGGGAGGGCGCGAGCCGCATGGGACGGCGCTTCTGCAGCATCCGCCCAGTTCGGCGCCTGAGCGTGGCGCTGGTGCCCGTGCGCAGCCGTCCGGCCCCGAGCCTGGGGCCGGCGCCGCCTCATGCTCTGCGCCTCCGCCGTCCTGCCCCCCCCTCTGTCAGGGCCTGCAACGCGGCCTATGTACTTTGGGTGTCCGCCCAGTGCGGCGCCAGCCTGGCCATGTGCCTCATCACCGACGCCGTCAGCACAGCCCTCGTGGGCGCGCCCCCCCACCGCACGCTCCCCCTGCCCCCCGGCCCCAGCGGCCCCGGCGGCCCGGGGGCACCCAGCAGCAGCGGCAGCAGCGGCGGCGGCGCGGCGGGCGCGTCCGGGTACGGCGCGCCGCTGCTGCTTGAGGCTTTCAACCGCAACATGCTGGCGCTCTTTCTGGCGGCGAATCTGGCGACCGGCGCGGTCAACCTCGGGGTGGACACCCTGTCGGTCGGCCACGGCGCGGCGCGCGCTATCGTCGGTGCGCCGCGCGCTCGCCGCGCCCAGCGCAGCCCGTCGGGGCTGCGATTCGCGTGTCTCGCCGCGCAAAGCCCGCTCCGCCGATGCAAAGCAGGGGGTTTATGGGTGCGAGCGTGGGTTTGTCGGCCCTAGGGGGTTTAGGGTTTGGGAGATACGTACGTTGCCCCCTGCTGTTCCGCGCATGCAATGGTTGCGTGTTGGTCACGCTACCCGTCTTTGCCCTGCACCCCTTGGCTACACCCCCATGCAGGCACCTACCTGGTTGCCGTCTGCCTGCTGGCCGTGGCCCTCGACGCCCTCAACATAACCCTCAAGCTCTGATTACTGCTGCCGGGCGTCACAGCCACCGGCCGTACCGAGCCCGGCCTCCAGAGCAGGGCTCGGGCTCCCCGCGCGCTCCGGGACGTGTGCGCCCTGCCGCGGCGCTTTGCTGCCTCTGCGAGAGAGGGCCGGCTCCGCACCGCGTGTGCTGGTGCACTGTAACGATACCCCATTCCGGAATCTGCCTCCAGCCGCGACGCATGACAGGCTGGCAGTGCCTGTGAGCGGCCGTCTGCTCCACCGGGTTGCGCGCCTTTGTGCGCCAGAAGACACGTGCTATGCCTGTGCTGTCCTCCTGATGCATGCAACCCCCGCCGCTGTGGCGCGCGTGGGGCAGGGGCCTGACCGGTCCTCATGCGCTGCTTGTTGCCGAGAGTGGCTTTGTCACTTGGGAGTATGAGCTGTCCTCTGCTTGTTTACGCCCTGCACCCATGTTTGCATTGTTGATGGGTTCTTGGTTGTACCTTCTTGAACTTGGCCACCTGCTTGCGGCTCGCGTCCGTGGCCGCACCCTATCCATCACCAAGCAAGCTGCTGCCTGCAGTGCTTGCCCTTTGTCAACTTCACGCCGCTGTTGCGCACCAGGCGGCCGCCTCTGAGTCGTTGCTTGCAAGTTACAACCTGCTCTGCCATCCCATGCGCGCGTGTAACCCAATGCCAAGGGGTCGGTCGCCTTGCACTTTGAAGCAAATCGCACGGGCATCTCGTGCATTACACAACAAGCTCGCACAGCTTGTATAGTTCAAAGTTGCAGCCTACTTGAACAAAGTAAAACGCGCGATGCCAGTCAAAAAGGTCAAATAGTTGGTGTTGCTGTGTCGTCAGCGCGCGGCGCGGAAGCCAGCAGGATGATGCGCGGTGAAAACAGCTGCAATACAGCAACCAGCTTCAACAGCAGCTGCCAGTGTGCGGCAGCGCAGGTGCTCCTGTACAATTGGCTGTTGAGGGCCCTTCTTGCATACATAGTGCAGAGGAGGTGCGTGAACTGCGGCATGCCTGAGGCTGTGGCAAGCTCGTCGAGGCGTTGCGCGACCTGGCCCGCCATCATGCAGCCGCTGCTGGGTGTTCTGGCTGGGGCCAGCACGCGATGCTTTTCACGTGGTCATTAGCAGTCTCGTGCCTCACTCACTCGCCGTGCGACGTTGGTAGGCCGCCAACGCAGTTGCTGATGCCGCACCCGCGCACCAATGGCGCCTGGTGACCGCGTCAACGCCCCTGCGCCAAGCACTTGCGTCAAACGTCAAAGTACTCCCAAGCATGATAAGGGCGCAATGGCAGGTACAAGGCATCTCAAAACACTGAGTAAGGAGCTGTGAATGACAGGCAAGCTGAAGTGTTGGGTGCAAGGCAAGCGCAAGTATTGCTGCGTTGGCAAGTGTGCTTATGGAGGAGTGTCACAGAGTGAAGTTTCAACCTTGCAACACCCAGCCAATGGGTGCTGGCACCGGTTGTTGTCTTGTAATTCTGGGCGACTTGACAGGCAAAGGAATAGTGGCGTGGGCAAAAATGTGCCTTATGCGGCGGCACAAACGCAACATCCTAGCAGGCCCTCGACAAACTGGCTACGAAACAAATGGTCGCTTGTTGGAGCTCCCCTTCTTGACCTTGGGCTGAGGCTTGCGAGGCTCCTTGGCGCACAGCGTCGCGGGCCCGACCCCCGCCCGCCACAGCTGCTCCGCCGTGCCGGCGTGTGTGAGGGTCCCCAGGCCCCAGCAGAACGCAAACCAATCCACGGGGTGCTGCCGAAGCAGCGCGGCAGTCTCAGGCATCTTCATGCCCAGGCGGCCCACAAAGTGGTTGTAACCGATCTCGAAACCGTTGGGCAGGTACTTTATGCCCAGCAGGTACTTATACTTGTCCTTGAGGGCACCGCACTTCCCGCTGTGGCCGCTTTTTGGGTGCGAGCTCCACGACTGCGAGTACATGTCCCAACTCCAGGCGCAGCCCTCCGGCGCCTGTGGCATGGACTCGAAGAACCGGAAGCCGGACGGCAGTGCGCCCTCGTCGCTGCTCTCGTAGGCGTTGATGATGCGCGCGTGCAGCTCCATGGCGGCGGCGAGCGCGTAGCGCTGCTCGCTGTAGACGTCTGTGTCCTGACCCCAGGCCGTCTCGGCGGCTTGGATGAGGCTGCCGAGGCCGAACAGCGTGTGGTACACTGTGTGTGTGTGTGTGTGTGTGTGTGCGTGTGTGTGTGTGTGCGTGTGTGTGTATGTGATCAGATCATGCACAGCCACGCATCTGAGCGGTGTGTGTTGGGATATTGGCAGGGATTTCAGAGGCTGCGTTGACTGCTGCTGCTGCACTTCGTTCAGAGCAGGCCGATGTGCGTTGCTGTCAGGCCCGCGCTGTCAGCCTGCTGGCCCAGCCAGTTCTCCGTCCTGATGCCGTCAGGCAGCGCCATGCTGCATGCGGTGGCCCCTCGCCGCCCCTCCGTGCTGCATGTCTGCGCCCCGCGCCCTGCTCACCGTCGCGCAGAGTCTCAGTGGTCTCCCCAATCATGCGGCCCTTGGCGTACCGCCCCCGCCCCCACCTCAGGTACCCCTCCACTGTCGCGCGGTACAGCGCGAGCCCGCGCTCGTACCGCGGCCTGTCATCGGACAGCACTCCGACCGCCATCATCGCGTCGCTCATGGTGGCCGGCCAGTTGCCGTACCAGACCGTCTCTTTCGCCCGGCCCTCGAGCAGGCCGGGGTTCAGCACGTCAACGTAGTAATCCATCTGCGGCATTAGTACGGTTCTGACCCACGACATGAAGGTGGACAGGTGCTCCTGACGGAAACCGGGCCAGGTGGCGCGCAGCAGGTCCATGGCACGTGCCATGGCGCTGCAGCCCCTGTCGACAGCGGGGTTTTAGGGGTAGGATTGATTGTGACGGTCAGAGGGAGGGGCTGTTCAGGGCCACACATGAGGTCCAAGAGGACAAGGCCGCAACCAGGTCAGGAGAGTGGTTGCCTGCCCGCAACTCGGCACCTTAATGACCTTGCAGCTGTGCAAAGCACTGCCCGGCACGCACGGTCAGCTGCAGCTCAGTGGACCCAGTTGCCGCAGCAGCCCCGACTAGTCCCGCCCGGCCCCATGCCTCTACTCACCACGCCACCTCAAGCGGCCCGTTCCGCTCCTCTATGCCGAACGCCTTGTTGGTCCTCGCCCAGGCCATGACCGAGTCCATGGCCTGGGACGCGTACCGCTCGTCACCAGTGGCGGCGTAAGCCACTGCGTTGCGGTACGCCATCGACGCGTCCATCTCAACAAAGGCGTAATGGGCGCACATGGGCTGTGGCGCATCGGCCGGGTAATTGGGGTGGCAATGCGAAGAGTAGTGCTTTGTCCAGCCGCCTGGGAGGGCAGGCACAATGAGAGGTGTGTGCATATGTTTGGGGGGTTAGCCGACCACTGGTTCAAGCGATGGGGGTTCGCAGTCATGTTGGTTACGGCCATGTAAGAGTCAGCAACTGTGGCCCCAGGCTGTCTCCATTTTGAGCCAGCTGCGTGTTGACGCTGACCTCAACCTCAGGCACCATCCAACATACGTAGATACCTCGTTTCACCCACCCCAATCCACGTAGATCTTTTCCATTGGCATGGCCCCTTGGTAGGTGTCGTTGCCCATGGCATGGGTTGGCGCAAACCAGCCCGTCTTGGTGTAAGATGCCGGCACACCGCGACCCTTCGGTCCACAGACACGAAACGGGGAACTTGTCAGCCCTCGTGTCGGTTGCGTCGCGTCTGCTGCCAGCAAATGCTCGACCGCCAGCTGCGCCTTCAAAGCATTCTTACCAAGTCATCAAAGTCTTCTCACCAAGTCATGCAGCCACCTCACCCACCCCCACCCCACCCC